TGAAAATGTTAACATCTATAGCATGGGCAGGGGCAAAATGTATAACACGGCAGAACTCGCTTCAAAAAAGTAGCTTTGGTCTAGGGGCAACCATTTGCTATGACAAGTTCACAAATATTAGTACAAGTCAGCAGGCAGAGCTGAACATGGAGCAGACATTAGACAACCGCAGGCTGTTCTCTCAGTAGATGAGGCAGGAATAAAAGGAGATTATGAATCAGGCCTAGTGCTGTGAGGAGGAGGAAGAGTTGCTGTCTCCCATATGCAGGCTCTTCATTAATGTTTTTATGACTTTTATGGAGATAAGCACACAGGAAATAGAGGTCCTATGACCTTGTGACATCACAAGGGAGTTGTGCTCTGTACTGGCTCTTTTAGTTATCCATCAGTGACACTTGAAGTTCTCAATGAGATATGGGAAGCGTAATAATCTTCCATAGCATCTTTCCATGTCTATGCTTCTTTTGAAGATGAAGGCACGAGTGTGAAGGGGATATCTGAGTCTCGTAGCAGGGGATTTTAAAAATCCACTTTCAGCAATGCATGTGTGAGAAATTGGTGCTTCTGATAAGACTTATCCACATGGGCTACTTGTGGCTGCCCCTGGGCAGCATCCAGAATGCTCAAGGCGCCTTGATTAATTTGAGCAGAAAAGATTTCTTGTTCTCAGTGTTGTAGTAACATCATTTTACCTTAGACATGATGTGAAAAAAGATGGCAGACCCTTGTTCTATGTGCCAAAGACCATTGTATGTTACTCTAGGTCTCAAAGATTCTTCTGAAACACTATTCTCTAACTAGACAATAGAGGAGATCAGGGTGTTAAGACTTGTAATTCAGTGCTGCAGAGACAAAATACTTAATGACAGCTTTTCAGATGGCACACAGACGGATAACAAATGGAAGCAGAAATAAGAAGTCCACCTTTGTTGCTGAGAAATTTCAGGTATTTGGTGTTATTTGAAGAGTGATTTTGGATGTTTTTCAGGGACAAACTATGAAAAGTGCCCTCCCACAGGAAAACATTTGCACATCACAAAACATTTGACATATTAGGTTCATTAAACCCTAGCAATCTTAGTGCTTCTTATAATGATGTGGTTGCTTTCCTTGTTGTATGCCATAAAAAAACAAAGCTTTAGTCATCTGGAAATAAGGTATTAAAACTCCTGATTTTGAAGAGCCTTTATACTGAAAACATAAGAGACAGTTAATAAAAGTGGCAGAGATAGCATTAAAGAGCTATTTTATTAGGGCCATTGAAAATTTGTAGTACTTAGAAAATCACTGTTAAAATGTCATTCTCGGAAGCCTTCAAAGAAAACGTTTGTTCATTGTGTTTTTTCAATAATGCTATTTACAACACTAAAAAGTTTATTCATACTACTACATGCCAACAAATGTAATTAATTTTGCCTGAGATGTGAAAGAATCCATAGAAAATAAATGACAGTGAGATATTGTCTCAAAATGGAACTCCTTTAATGTTTTCTATGGCAGTGCCTGGATTTCCATGTCCCTTAATGCAGGCTGTTATATTAAATTATGGAAGAAGTCTGTGGGTTTCTTGCAGAATTTTTTTGTGCATTATTTTTCATCTATTATTCTAGAGCCAACCCAGAAGCTCCTAAATCATAAATCCAAATTGTAGCTCTAAGCGAATTTGGTCTCTTTGTATATTTGCTTGCTGAGTTGCTTTCTACACAAAGTTCATTACCCACAACCTTTGAGTATCTTTATTTTTCTTTCTTAGTGCCTGTGATCTCCAATAGGCTTTACTGTCCTTCTTATTTTTTTTTTTATCTTTTAAAAACTATCTCTGTGTATTTCTTTCTCTGGAAGGAAAGCTAACACAATACAGATACAGATCCTCTCTTCCAAGCAACACACAGTATTTTAATTCATTATCTCTTCCATAGTTTGGTGTTTGGAAAAGAAACATTAGGAAGTACTGAATGCAAGAGTTTAAGTAATTTTCTCAGCTCATGTGCACATAGTAAAATGAACACTGAGGAAAAATATGGCTTAGTTCCTGCAAATCACAAAATATGCTGGTATCGACAGGGATCTGAGTTCTAATAAAAAGAGAAGTGGTCAGTGTTTAAAAAATAGCAGTAACATGAAGGTATGTTACAGTGGCTTTGATTATTCACCTAAGTTTAATGGACATCAGTTACCCATCATTTCAAAAATTATAAGAAGGACTGTAATACATTTAATGATATAAAAATTGGAGTCCATGCCATGCAGGTGCTCAGAAATTCATCTGCTTTGTTGTTTTAGGATTTCTCCAGGAATACAGTGGGATTATCCACAATTGGGACCTGGTAGTTTCATATTTTATAGTACAGACTATTCTCTCTGTGCATTCATTATCCATTTGGTGTTATTCAATCTCCCCGTAAGAAAATTTCATATGCTGAGTTGTAGAATACAAGCTATGAAAAAGAAATAATTCATATGAATGATACTTAAAACATTGTAGTTGATGGAGAATGTTTTGTGTTACTCCAACTTTTATTGTCTCATATTATTTTTATTTGAAAATGATTTTATTTATAGAGCAAGACCTCCAAATTAATGCAAGTAATATAGCAGAATATTAGAATGAAGGAAAAACTCTCTTTGTTCTCTGATGCCTCATTTTAAAACACCTGAGTTGACAGATTTACTATGTCCATATATATCTGCTCCCAAAGTCTAAAGTCCCAAATAGTCTTTCAACTATTTGCATCGCACATTAACAAGCATGTCTGTGTGTGATCAATCTGTATGCTTTATAAGTATGAACTTATCCATATTCCCCATTCACAATGGTGGTCATTAAAACAGACTGACGAAAGCCTATATGAGTTGAACTTACGGTACTCGTCCTTCAGCTGGCTGTTTGTTATCACTGAAAACTCTACAAGGTTCGCTATCCCTTCTTGTGTTGGTTTCTTTTTTCTCCTTGCTAAGACAAAATACCCAACACCAAAAATGAAGGAAGGTAAAGTTCGTTTAGCTGACTCTTTGTGAAGGTTTCAGTCCATAATCGGCTGGCTCCAAGGCAGACTGGCTTGGCTCAGAGACAACACTCGAAGGCAGCAGCCAGCAAAAGCAGCCAGAGCAAACAGTGGGGAACAACAAGCCTCTTCTCCTCTCCTACATTGTAAGCAGGTTAACTCCTCAGCAGATGTAGCACTCACAAAATTCTCTTGCTCCCCTCTCGCACTGGATGAGGATGTTTATGAAGAACCCTGGCTCCCTGCTGTGTCTTTTAGTTGAACCTCTCAATTTCTCAAGTTGACTTAATGCATCAACCCTAACCCTACCCTACACAAATCAAAGCAGGTACCTTTGCGCTTCCTCTCTGCTAGGATTAATCATATGTTCTCAAGGAGAAAGAAGCTTTTGGAATATTAGTCAACAGTGATTTATTAACAATCCCACAAGCTATTTCACTGTTTTAACCACCAACTTTTTGGAGTCTGTTCCTGAAAGATAAACATTGACCCTAATTTCAGTCATTCAAAAGTGCGCACATGCCGTGCCCTCGTTCTCATCAACTTGTCTGATGATTAAGATCACAGCCACTTGTGTCATCCCTTCCAGGTGGGCATCCCTTACGTAGTTTTAGATCCAGCCCTGTAGAGAATACCATGGGTACTGTCCATGAAGATCTCATTTTTGGAACGAGGAGGCAGCCAGAGCTGACTTCGGGAACTTTCCTCTGAGAACTCCCTTTGTGTCCCAATACCCTTTTAATCTCTCAGTAGTGGAGGGTCCTATCCCCCTGTTGTCCTTCTGGTTATGCTCTCAGTGACCTCAACCCCAGAGTTTAGAGCTGTCAGATTCCCTAAGTCTTACAGCATCTGCCAATGGAGAACAAATCCCATTGCTTCACTCCTATTGGACTTTCCACGCTCCACTGTTACCATATATTATCAATGCATTTTTGGTGGGAAGGTAATTGAAAGTAGTTTGTGTACCTTTCTCCACGGGACATGGCACATAAATGCCATTCAGAATGTTGGTTCATTATTCTCTTGGACCTTTCAACAGCATGGGCACTGTCATAAAACATCCAAGAATATCTCTGTTTTCCTCCATTTCTGTGAAGTTTTGAAAGTAGAAGATTGCTATATTCTCTCCAGTTGTCACTATAGATTTACAGTAATGATACTTCTTTTTTTTTTACATACTCAGCTCTTGTAAAGAAAAAATGCAAAAGCCTTTTACTTAGTATGTTCGAGGTGCAATCAATTCTCTACGTTTCACTGGAATTTCTTCTCCATTATTTCTAGTTGAGGATGTAAACAAATTAACACTTATTATTTACTGCTGAGCTCTTTGCCGGGTACTTTACATGTTACCTCATTGAATCCCAACTGCCTCTAAGTGGTGTGCTCATTTCCGACCTTAATTTACAGGAAAGAAATTGAAGAAGTCAAAGAAGTCATCTTCCCAGGTTCCCATGAGCGGTGGCCTCACAATTTCAGGACAGATTGTGCCTCCACAGGCCTTGGTTGTTTTTGTTGTAGTAAATGAAGTCATCAAATCTGTACTTTTAAAGGCTCAAGTAATATAAATAATGTTTTCAAAATTATGCAGCGCTGTCCACACATGTAATTTCTATTGCATATTTTCATTGGCCCTGATGTCTAAGATGAATAAATTGGTATGCAGTGAAGGCTTTCACTGGCAGTGATTACAGGGGACCTTTAAAGATTAGGTGAAATGATGCCAATACTTTGCTGGGGAATTCAAATCTATCCTTAACCCTTCACTTTTAAAGTCACTGGTATCTAAATGAAACATTTTCCTGGCAAAAAGCTATGAAATATGAACATGCAATAGTGAAATCATTTCACAGAACCTAATAAGGTTATCGTACAAAATCAGAAATGAAATCTCCTGCAGTATTTAGTCTTCAGCAGTATCTAGTCTTCGTGTCAGTATCTGACACGAAATCTTGAAGACTCTGGAACTCAAACAGTGCTGTGGCTGCTTCTCCCCAGGTGTTCCAGATCGCCTATGTTATCGTGAAAGCAGCCAACTCCCCTCGGCCCGGAAACTGGATTTTGGAGCGCTCGCTGGACAATGTGGAGTACAAACCCTGGCAGTACCATGCCGTGACTGACACCGAGTGCCTGAACCGCTACGGCATTTATCCCCGCACCGGTCCCCCGTTCTATGCCAAAGATGATGAGGTCATCTGTACTTCCTTCTATTCCAAGATCCACCCGTTAGAAAACGGAGAGGTAAGATGAGAAACCTCATCCCTGAGGTGCATTTAACACGGCCAAATAGGCCTGCCAGAAAGATTGAATATATCAGTAATTAATGTCAGAGAGATTTAAAAATGGGATTAAGCAGAAGTACATTTAAATGAGTTATTAAATGGAAAGAAAACCCCGTATGAGTAGAATGTTAACTACCTTCATATGTCTCCTATCAACAAGAAAGATCAGAGAAGGGGAAATGGGTTTAAATTGGAACGTTGGATTAATTTTACATAGAAAGATATTTTCCCTGACAATGAGGATTAAAGAGGGCGGGAGACCTTAAAGAAACCTGTACATTGGTGTCTACTTTGCTCTCAAGATGGAGACGAAGGAGGGATTTGTAAAGACATAGACGCTACATGAAGAGACCAAATAAAAGCAGCTTTGTCAGGAATGAGTGTGTTTCTGTGTCACTGGGGAGGACAGTGTAGGATTTTGTGTCTCTGTTAGGACCTTCCAGAATAGTATGCCTGGGCTTCTTGGCTTCTCAATTATGTAGAAGCTGAGGCATAGGTGTAACCCAAAGTGTTCTATTACCCTGTTGTGTTTTTTATCCTGTAGTTACAATTTTAGGCATATTTGTTAGTTTTAAACCACAGATTCAAACCATGGCTTCCTTGTTCTTATCTATATGTTCTTGATCAAATTACTTAAATTCTCTATGGCTTGGCTTCATCCTCCAAAACTGAGTTAAAACTGCTTACTATCTTGTGTGAGTGTCAAGATGAATACATAAATTACATTTAAAGGATTAAACAGCACAAGGTCATGAGTTGGATCCCCAGTACCAAAAAAAGAAAAAAAGAAAAGAAAATAGCTTTAAACAATGCTAATATCTAAGCCAAACATTCTAACCATTAACTATTTTCATTATTATATCTCTATAATAACAATAACTACTGTATTTATTTGTCTCTGCTCAAATATCCAAATCCTTGTGTTAGCGTCTCTTAAGTTCTCTAATACCCCTTTATTATGTCTTCCTACTTTGCCTCACCTTCCTTCATCCTCTCTACTTAAACACAAACTCCTCAGCTGACCATGGGGCTACATCCTAACCAACCTGTCGTAGTGGGAAGAGTATTTAACAGACCGAGGCTTCTGCACATCCGGCTTAGCTCCGCCTACCGCAGACAGGCTCATCACACATTGGCCCACAGTTAATGTAGAGCACGTGTGGAATGAAGTGGTGTCTAACTCAGAGAGTTTATCGAGATTCAGTGGTGTAATGAAAGTGGAAAACAGAATTGCAACGAGGACGAGAGCCACAGATAACCGCTGTGGACCTAATGAGAGGAGGCCACACAGAGCGCAGGACTCAGACATGCACGCTGGCAGTTCCGCGCACTGTGGGTGGTCCACTCTCTCGTAGTGACCTTGTAGCCAACTGCTGCTCACTGCTCTGTGCAGTACCAGACCCGAGGGTCACACCACATGGAGTGGCCCAGACAGAGGTCCACATTCATAATTTAAAGTATGCTTTTTACTGAATTTGTTTTGCTTTCTCACCATTTTAAAGTTAAAAAAAAGAAAAAAAAAAAAAAAGAAAAGAAAAGTTGAACCCTCTTAAATTGGGGCTGTCTGTGTTCATTGACCCAGCATCTGAAGTGAGTACTATCCCTTTCTTTTTGAGGTACTTTACCCTGAACCTAAGGCTTTTGCACCACCGAGCCTCGTCCTTGGCCCCACTTCTTTGATTTTTGAGACAAGGGATCACCAAGTTGCCAAGTTGTCCATCGTGGGCTTGAGCTTGCCATTCTCCTGCCTCAGCCTCCCAGAGTGCTGAGATCACAGTGGGCGCCCACAGGACTGTCTTAGGACCATCTTTCTTGTGCACATTTTCAGAGACCTCACATTCACAGTCTGTCATGCCCTCTTCACCCTCGTCAGTGTGGAGAGACGCCCTAAACATTTCTAGCAGAAAATTCGGTTTTTGCCATAAGCCTATCAAGTTTCCTTTTGGCAGTATTTGTGTGTGAATGTTTAGCAGTGCCTCCTTTTATTTCTAAATTCCATGTTCCAAGTGGAACATGGAGAGAAACATTCCAAATGGCGCTCTCAGCGAGAGGTCTCAATCTGTCAAATGATAAGGAGTCAAATGCAGACATCCAGCAGCTGTTCATCCTGCTCTGTGACCAGAGGCAGCCTGTGCCTGGTGGTTTGGCTGGAGGATGAAGAAGTAGGGAGCACAGAGAATACATGTGTATGAATAATTTTATTTATTTTTCTCCTGGGTCCTGTGTTTACCCAGAACTAACAATTGTATCTTAAAGCTACTGATGACCATTTAAAAAAATGCCTCAATTCAGAAAGTGGTTGAGCTATGTAAGACATTCTGAGGTAGAGACATGATGTTCAGGTGATGGCAAATCTCTAGCTGTGCATGATGTTCCCTGTGTTACCAGCGGGTCTCCCCATGTTAGGCCACATCCAGCTGCCAGCACGGCACATTCTCAGTTGTTGTTTATTTAACTGACTGTATTCCTTCCATTCCTACACAACACTCACCATGAACTACTCAGCGACAGCGAGTAAAGAAAACTCAGTTTTTACCTGATGGACGCCCTAATTCTCCTTTTTATAGTGAATAGGCTGAAGTAAGGAACCGAGAGTAATTCAAAATATTTTAAATGGAATGACGGAAGTTAAAAATAATAATCAAATTGAAAAGCTCTTCCTTAACTATCTGCTCATTTTATGTCATTTACTTTTTAGAATAAACAGGCTCAGCGAGGGCAGGAGATATTATCCAAATCTTTCAGTTCACCTGGAAGCAGCTGGAATCAGAATCCAGGCTTCCTCATTGGCTGTAAAATTTTTATTTCATACTCGAGTAAAGACTAGAAATAGACTTTAAAGACCATAAAAACTGATAATCAAAGGAAAAGGGTATACTGTTGCTGGATCTGGTATATACAGAGACCTTTTCTGAGACATCATCCTATAGAAAAACATGAGTGAGGGAAGACCTGGGTTCTTATCCTAGTTCCTATCCTCTATGGGACTTCAAATGGGCCAATTAATCACCCAGAGGTTGAATATCTTTAATAGATTTGTTTAGTGTGTAAATTATTATAAGGCGTCTTTGTGTTCTGATGTGATACAGTTTTAGATATAACCTTGGGGATATTCTGAAAGTTTTGGATGCTTGTCCCCTATAAATGTTTGTTTCATTCATTAGTTTTTGGGATTTTCGTTTGTTTGTTTGTTGGGTGGTGGGTTTTCAGTACTAGAGATTGAACCCAGATCTTTTATTTTAGTTTTAGTTTTAGTTGTAGTTGTAGATGTAGTTGTAGTTTTAGTTTTGAGACAAGGTCTTGAGAAGTTGCTAAGTTTCCCAAGCTGGGCTTGACTTAAAATCTTGCTACCTCAGCCTCACAGGGTGCTGGGATTACGGGTGTGTGTCACCAGAGCGGATGTCACTAGTGTTTACCTCCAAAATGATTTGCTCCTGGGTGAACCCTGAAGTACAATTACTATATGTTAATATTCAAAACTTTCAAGGAGAGTGACAATAAAATAAAACAAAGAGATATATAATACAGTAAATAAAACATGATGGAAGAAGTAAGTACCAGGAACAGGAAATCATCCTCTCCCCAAAATGAATGGAAGGGACCTAGAGAGAAGATGACTTCTCATATGTGGAAATCAACAACTCAGTATCTCAAAAGACTGAAGGCCAGCCATGTCCGATAATCACTATTCATTCATCTCCCATAATGTTTGCAGGTTAAAGCAAGATACAAAACAGAATCTGCCTCCATCTTAAAGTATATATTAGCAATGAATTTTAAGTTTACAGTTATTTTGTTTTGGCATATTTTATTGTCTTCTGATTTCCTTTGTGTAGAGAATGTAGGTTTCAATTTATTGTCTTTGGAGTGTGTTTTTCTCTAATTTTCTTAAAGATTTTTATCTTTGAGTTTTCATGGTGTTACTATGAAATTCCAAATACACATTGCACAGTATGATAGCCACTGGCCAGATATGTTTTCTATTTACGTTTTAGTTAATTGAAATTATATTAAGATTCAGTTCCGTAGTTGCAGTGGACAATGCTTGTTGACCCCCTGTGATCAGGACTACCAAGTTGTATTATGCAAAACAGAATTAGTTCATCAGGACATGGTTCTGTCATGGAATTATGCTTTAAATCACACCATTTATTTTTCTGGCTTGGGTTTTGAGTGGTTTGATTGTCAGTTCATGAAATAACTCAACCAGCAGCTCCTCAAACACTGCTTCCTCTCTGTTCTCTGTTCTCTGTTCCCCTCCATGAATACTTAAACGTAACTTGGAGCTTCTTTCTGTAAACCCCAGGTGTCTTATACCTTTTCTGTTGATTTCATCTTTTTGTCATTCTCTGTATTAATTCTAGATTTTCTTTTCTGGTGTACTTCTAGTGCATTGATTCTCTCATCTAGTATATAAAAATCTATTCAAACACTTCAAAATATTCTGATTTTATGTATTATATGATTCAGTTTCTAATATTGTTTATTTTCATACAGATATTTAGTTTATTATATTTAAACTATGTGCAATTAAATTTTAATTTAACATAATTTATATTAAAAGGTTCAAAATTTTATTTTTATCTTCTTGGGCATAATATAATGATTATTTAAGAGTTTTTGTTTCATATTTCATATTTCTACTACATGGTCTTTATAGATATACTTTTATTGCCTGTTTCACTTGCTGATCCCTTCTTATGCTGGCTTATATCTTCATAGTCCTGATTACTTTGTATAGTACAATATTTCAAAAGTGCATGTGGAAATAATCGAAAGGCAAGGATATTATCTTTATCCTGTGAAGATTTTCTGATGCTTCTTCTACCCCCCAGCCATATGCATCTTCTTAAAACAACTTAGAGATTTAAATCTCTGGACAGTCAAGCGATTCCAAGTATTCTAGTGGCAGCTTCTTTAATGCTGCTTCTCTCATTCCCAGACTGCGTGTCTCTGGAA